CTCTTGAAACTTTCCAAATTTCTGGATACTTAGAGTGAGTCAGTGACAAGTTAAAGAGGTACAGGAGTGGACTCTCAAAAGTGGATATGCGGTTCCTTGCTAAAAAAAAAAACAGGGACACCATCAAGGCCATCCGTCGACCTCGATTTCAGCTTGGTGTCGTGTAACATTATTTATGATGATACAGGTGGAGTCATATTGACTATCTGCGGTACGTACCGCATCAACATGGTCCAGTACAGGTACCTCGTCCTGATATACTGAACTAAAGTATTTTGCAAAAGCGTCGTAATTGCCCAAAAACTTCGACACCACCAGACGAATAAACGTTCATATTATATATGTTCCTATATATATCTACATTTACCTTCAATTAAGAATCAATATACAGATGCGTTGTCACCCCTGAGGACTAAGATGGAATGCGTTATATCCAGTAAACAGAAACAGAAACTTTTTTATTCGATATAGATTATAAACAATACTTATTGAAAGTCAGTCTTTCATTTACCACTGGTTCGCAAAAAAAACCTCTGTCCTGGGAAGAACCAGCAAGAAACCCAGCGGGACTATTTTTGTTTTCAAATAATAGCTTATACAATCAATTATGTTACAAATTACAACACAAAACAAATTAGAAATAGCTTGGTAGCGATCACCCATCACAGGGATTATTACCATCCATAAATTCCTTAATATTATAATAACCCTTTTTATACAAACTTAGTTTATTACAGATTTTGAACTTTGAGCAAGTCAAATTTTATATATTTTCTGGGATTTTGTTGTAAAACTATACATCGCCCCAAGAATGAATTACTGACTCGGTGGAATCGAGTAACTGGTACTACTAGCTTGTGTCTGTTCCTAGTATTTACACAATGAATATCGCTTATTTTTTGTAAAAAGAATCTCTGGTTCTCTATACTCACCAAATAAAAATCTGCCGTTTTAATCTACTATTATAACGGCTCCGGTTTATACGCTGCTATTCTGTGACAGCGTTGTCCTTTCACGGTCAATCTCAACCCATTCATGCTACAACCATAACTTAGCTGCAGCATGACTCTACCGCGTTGAATGCAAAGAGATACGTCTCTTCGCGAGGGCAGAGAATGAATCCGATCGGAAAGAACTTGGTCGGCGACGATTCGATTCGAGCCAATCTCCGTTAAATGTGGTCCAGTGAAGGAGATAACAAGCTTAAATCGAACTGATGGTACCAGAAACCTGAATTGGTTTCTTATACCATCAGTTCGATCATTGATCATTGTAAGTGGCTATGGACCATAGACACCTATAACCACAGAAATCGTAATAATAAGACAATAGAAGTCGCATAAACCAGATACATAGAATAGATACGCGTGACCTAGTCGCCGTTATGATGTGTTGATGAACATCATTCACCATTTTGTGATTTAGTTGCGCGGGGAGTGTCGTACGTGAATTTATGTTATAAATTTATAATGGTGAACTGCAGCATAATCAGTTGTAAAAAATCATCAAGGACGGGTAATTCAACTAATAAAAGCATAACATTTCATCGGTAAGTTGATTATTTAAAAACTAATTAACATCTAGATGAATACTTTACTATGATTTTACTATGACTTTACTATGACCTTTGTAAACTTTCATTTATTACTTTTCGTATTATACAATTACCATTGCTACTTTTGTTCTACCGTAATAAGCGACGCACGCGACGTTGACAAACTCGCTAAGCAATGTAATGTGAAACATTACAATAATACATATTAATAATACGGTAAGATGTGGCGACATCGGTTTTGGAAGTAATCGAGCGCTAATTCATTTCTATTGTCTTATTATTGCTATTTCTGTGCCAACCTATAACCAACTTCAAGCAAAGGCTATAGATGAATAATATGAAGCTGCAAATGAGACAAACATTAAGTGCCTCACAGCCTGTTATTAACGTGACGAGAGTCGGCTGTCCCTCTGGAGTGCCCTGGTCCAGAGACGAGAACAGAGTTCCATGTGAGGCCAAACCTGCGTCTTGTAAAGTTGTAAGCGGTGAGCCGGATCAAAATACCTTCTCCTACTACCTAGTACACAAAACTTTTTTGACGCCAGTTTAGCTTTCCCTTCCTGTGGAACTGTAGGTGTCTCAAAAGGATCTCTCCCTCAAAGTGTCGATCTCTGTCGTGACTACGGACTGTACGTACTTACTCATTATATCAACGTCGAGGATTCCGATACTTGCTGAGGCAATAAGGGAACTTAAATACAGAATATACAACAGCATTGATAATAACAAAAACCTCTTCTTTTTAGGGGTTTCCGTGTAATTACAAAAAACAGACCTGTATCTTATGAGAATTAAACTGAGGATTAAGTCATACTTATAAGGCTCAAATTCATCAACAACGCCAGTATTCACTGATGTTCCATAAGGCACATGAATAAGAAGTGGAACACATCACTTACAAAAACATAACTAATTAGTAAAAATATTGTGGTATCATGGAGGAAATGTCACTAATTCGAGCCTACATTGCATTTTTTCTTGTTGAGAAAATTACATGTTATCGTGTTTTCCTTTTATGAAATCCAAGGTCATTATAGTCAAAAATCATATAACAAAAATTTTCTTCGTAATCTATAAAACTTGAAAAAATATGTAAAATAGAAAAACCACCAAATTTTAGATATGTCACCTTAAGAGTACTCTTAAATTCGCCCATCATAAATCGGTCGATAAACCTGTCGACTCTGGCACTAACTTCTGCAGAATAAATTCACTATGTCGGTATTTCCTTTTCATCTAACCTACATGTCCTAACCACTGAAGCATTTCTTTCTTAACCTTGATCATCAACACATCTCACACTCTATTATTCAGTCACGCCAAACATACTTCTAAATGAAACTGAGAATATAGATATCTCTTTTGATTTCAGCAATTGACATGATAGCACCAGACTTACGTTTGCCATCATCTGGTTTATTTATTCAATTTTATCAACTTTTGCATTATTCTGAGGCTAATTAAAAAAGATTTAGATAACTATAATTATGTTTATAGGTATATTATGAGAAACTGCAATAAAATAAAATAAAATATTAAGAATCAGTACATTAAAAATAACATACTACGATATTGTAATTGAAAGTTAACTTATAATTTAAAAAATCGTAATTTAAACATAAAAACCCTACGTTTTCATTTACTAAGAGGAGCCTAATGATTAATTATACGATATATAAATAATCCACTATTCGACTTCGTGGACATACTTGGAGTGATTAACGGATACATTAGTTAGGAGCTTCTCATTATAGAAATAATTAAATGATTTGATTGGATAACCAATTTTTTCTTAGAATCACAATTTTGATATATTGTTTACTTTAGATTTAAATATTTACCTAAGATAAGGAAATTCTAAAAATTTATAGAAATTAATTTTACAAACACAAAATAATGTAATTTACTAAAACTGTAGAGTGGATTGCAATGATATACAACTTCCTTTATCCACTAAATTTCACGTAGACAGATGTTAAATAAATAACCTCATGTGTTATCATTTCTTTTATAGTTTATAATTAATTATTGCATAAAAGCAAGTAATATTTTCCATGGATATTTTGCACTAAAACTGAAACTAATATTAAATTCCCATAAACATGTTACTTTTAATATAAATATAATCGCTCTCATTATAAAACATGGTTCACTGATAGTCTCGGGCTTAAAGAAGAGTATTTGTCACAAAAGAAGTTAGATTATGGGCACGAGCAACTCGAAGATTTTTTTATAGCATTAAGTGACAAACGAGCACACAGTCCACTTGATGGTTAGTGGATGCTGTGGCCCATAGACATCCACATTTATCTTCAATTAAGAATCAAATGCAAATGCGTTGTCACCCCTGAGGACTAAGATGGAATGCCTTGATTCCAGTAAAGCGGGTCTACGGTTCTCTACACTCACCATACGTAACACAGCAGCATTACGCTGCTGTTTAACGCTGGTATTCTGTAAGAGCGTGGTCCTGCCCCGGCCGAGCCGACCCATTCATGCTACAACTATAATAAAGCTGCAGCTTGGCTCTACCACGTAAAAAATTCATGGACGAGTACGACGCGTTCACATATTCGTCTGTATTCATTCAACGTAAATATTTTTAAACATAGATGTCGTGCGTCCCGTTGCCACGACTTTATATCTACAAGTAGATAGATAGATTTATAGACTCACAAATATTTATTTGGGGAGTGTGGAACCCCCCTCCCCCCAATTGGATGGAGAGACGACCTGGTAAGACATGCAAGAAGTCGATGGATGCAGATGGTTTAGGACCGTAGTTTGTGGCATTCCTTCCCCCAAGGTCTATTCATATTATTTTAGTCTGTTCAGCGGTGAACTTGTGAAGGGATGTAATGATGATGATCCAATACTTATTTAAAACTGATTGCTAGGACCCCACATCACGGGTTCTTTTTGGTAAAGTTCTATAAAAATAGCGGATTCGTTACTCCAATCCATCACAGTAGGTAGGTTTTTTTAAATAAATTAGTTCATAAGAAAACTAAAGTTTAAAAGTTCACGGGTCAAGCGAATAATGACGAGTATGTAAACACCGATACGAATACCCACGAGCATTCGTTTTACTCGTGCCAAAAAACCGACATCGAGTGGAGAACAGGCGAATTACTCGGGCCGAGTAGCTAGAACACCCGAACAAGGCATTTACAATGCTCGTACTCGTGCCTTTTCGCCTTTGCTCGGCGAGCATCTAAACGTTGCATTAGCCAAAAGCCAATCTTCGTAAAACTAGACATTTGCTGTCAAAGTCTATATTTTACATTTTAGTACGCATATGTTACGCGGGACTTCTTTATTGAAATTAGTTTAAACCTGAAACTAATTTTAAACTATTTTTTGTAACAAGACAGTATAATATGTTCATCAACCTTCCACAAATATTAAAATTTATAAATATACTATAAATAATCATACAAAATGCTTAGCTTAAGCATGCTGACTTTTCTTCACCAAACCTATATCCAGTCGCCAAATCCTTAAAATATAACAAGTATCAAAAGCAACATCATCAGATTGAAAAAGCCCATAAAAACAGACTTACCTTAGCACCAGTGCGGTTCCACACGAGCACCTTGTGTCCAGAGTTGAGCAAGTTCTTCACAATACCACTACCCATGATGCCCAGCCCTAGGAAACCAAACTTCATCTGGCTGGCCTTGATGTTCTTCTCCAGCAGCGTCTCCGATACATTCTCCAGGTCTAGTGGGGGTGTGTCCTGAAATTTTGGAGTAAGATGACATTTCTTTCATAATTTTAAATTCTGAACATGGCCCTGTCCCGTTGCAGAGGATTTGTCATAGATCACGCTTGTTCCCAGAGAGTGTTACGTTTGCGCATTAAGGGTCTGCAATCAATTAGGATGTGCAGAGGCGTTTCTTCAGTTATGGAACAGAACCGACTCATCCTCGAGTTGCTGAGTCCCAGGATGGACATGTGCTTTTTAAGACAACAATGTCCAGTTAGGGCTCTTGCCAGAATGCGCAATTTATTTTTACTTAATCCCAGGGCTTCTGAAGCGAATTTACGATCGAAAGGCCGGATTAAAGTTTTAGAACGTTTTAAGCCTGGTTTGTCAGACCAGATCTTAAGTGATGTATTGTGTTAAAGAGTTTCAAGGGTCAATCGGGCTAGGCTTCTTGAGATTCCACAAAATGGCTCAGGTCAAAATTGTAGCGAATTAAAAGTACGTGTAGCATGAATGGGTCGGATTGACAATAGCAGTTCAATGCGACTGTGTTTCATATGATAAGTGTAGAGACCAGATACCCTTTTTACCGGAAACGAGGCATTAATTCTTAGTCCTCAGAAGTGACAATGCATCTGCATTTTGATTTTTAATCGAGGATAAATGTAGATGTCTATGGGTCACAGCATCAACCTTACTATGTGCTCATTCGCCACTCTTACAAAGTTAAAGGCTATATACGTCCCACAGCTGGGCACAAGGTCTTCTTTCATTTCTGAGAGGGTTTTAGGGCAAGGAAATGTCCGCCGCGATGCCCCAATGCGTGTTTGACAAATTCACATGTCTTGGAAGAATTTTTTTCTTACTTCTCAGACATGCAGATTTTCTCATGATGATTTCCTTCACAGCCGAGCACGTGGTAAATCAGCACTTATAATTGAAATTAACAATTTCAATTATAAGTGCCGGCGGGGTTGCTCGCGTACTGTGAAATTTACAGCGAGCGCTAACCATCACAGCTAACACAACTCTATAAAAAAAAGATGTCTCGAAAATTTGATAATTCTGCCGTTTTGATGTTTTTTTTTTTAATTTCAATAGCCTTAACGGTATTAAAATTAAAAAACATACTAATTTCAATAGAGAAGGCGGCTGGGTACTACCACCTGCTTGGGACCCTGTAATTAATAAAATTAAAACTAAACCCAAGCATACCACCGTAAGACTTTAAGACAGAGTAAGTTAATTCTACATAGATCGGATCATAAACAATAATTAAAAAAGCTGAAGGTACTCCGGGTTAACATTGACATCGGGACGTCAGTCACCTCAGTCCCCCGTGACCATGGGTGCTGGAAAGCACTCGAAACGTCGGGAATTAAAAATCATTTAAAATTAAACGCGATGAAATCCGTAAAAGTAGTTTTAATCAATGTAGTGTTCGCGTAAATATAAGAAATCGATTCTGCCCATCGCAAGTCTGGATATTTTATTCCTGCCGTGAAGGGGTGGTTATACCGCCATATATTGAAATTCAAAAGATATTTTTGGCTTATTACATAATCGACACTCACGGACCAAATAGGTTGACAAATTCTTATCTCTAAAAAAAAGGTTCTCGAGTAGCGGCCTCGTATCGGTATGCGAAGTGTTGGGCCGGTTCCCCACGAGAAAGTGACGACATGGTAAAGGATGCACGTGACAGGGCCGTGATTTGTGGCATTTCTTGGGGGAGACCTATGTTCAGCAGAAGCCTTGTAAAAAAAAAGTAAAGTAACAGCCTATATACGTCCCACAGCTGGGCACAGGCCTCCCCTCATTTCTGAGAGGGTTTTAGGGAAAGGAAGTGTCCGCCGCGCTGCCCCAATACGTGTTGGCGAACTTCACATGTCTTCGAATTTTTTTTCTTATTTCTCGGACATGCAGTTTACCTCACGATGTTTTCCTTCACCGCCGAGCACGTAGTAAATCAGCACTTAAAATTGCAATTAACAATTTCATTGGTGCCGGTGGGGATCGAACCCGGTTTGCTCGCGTACTGTGAAATTTACAGCGAGCGCTAACCATCTGAAGAAGCCTTGTGATGGGCTGTAATGATGATGATTGTGATTACTAGTACTTTTACTACTACTACTATTTTATTTCTTACAAACCCGTTTTATTCCGCTGAACATGGACATCCCCTATTGATTGCCACAAAACATGGCATGATTGAGAGGAGAAAATTCTTGTGTGGGGGGTAAAGTTTAAAAAAATCGTGGAACTAGATATTAAAAAGGGAGCAGGAAAAGGGGGTTAGTAATACTTACATTATTATATAGATAACATTCAAAAAAATTATTTAGTTTCTAAAAATGAAGTGTCTTAAAGAAAGCTAGAATCAATACCAAGCTCAATGGTATAATTTATTAAATTTTAATTTTTAACATTAACCATGCCGACTTAAATATTCTATTTTAAAATGGTTAATGTTAAAATAGATATTTTAATATATTTCATGTTTTATTAATATATAATAAAATACGTTTAAGCAGAAACATTCCAGGGGCTCATTTTCAATTTATCATAAACCCCGACGAAAAAAATGAGGGTTATATATTTAACCTATATCTGTGTACCAAAGAGATGAACCAATATAGATTAAGTTTTTCTGTTTGATAGGTGAGTGGATCGAGAGCGTTCTGAGCTATGATTCAATAAAACATTTTCAACCGTTTGAAGATCATCAGCTCTTTTTGTTTCAACGGTTTGTTAAATTTTTAATTTGTTTTATAATGTAAGCTGGTTTGGTGTTTTTAGTATTTATAGTAATAGTTTGGTAGATCTTTAATAGTACTAGTGTAAAATTTAGTCGGTAAAGTGAAGACTAGCTTACTCTGCTGAAAGCCTTTGGAGATTACCATCGACAACGGGTAATCTACACGCTCGATTGGTAAAATATTTTGAGGAAATGTGGCGCCCACCAACACTCAATAAAACAGAGTGGCGAAATAATTGTATCATTATCCTCTCAGAAACGAAGGAAGGTATGAGCCCTGTAGTGGGATGTACATAGACAATAATTATAGCTTACCATGCAGTGGCGGTGTAAGAACATCTCCCCACCCCAGACGACACATCGAAAAAGTGGCTCCAGGCTATCGCCGTACTGATCCGAGTGAATACATAATTTCTATAAAAACTTGAAAAAACGCCGTCATAAGGTCTAAAATTGCGTAGCGCACCGCTTCGAAATTGTCGTAATCTTAAAATATTTTTTAAAAATTATTGACTTAAGTAATCAAAATAATGAGCAAGTAAATTATGAATATTGATGTTATGAATATATTTCAGTGATTCCCAAGCATATAGATTAAGTAATTTCGTTGTTTATTTCAACTATAGTGATTTTTAGAGGTGTTTTGCAAATAATTATGATCGAGTCAAATTAATACAATCGTGATTTTGAACAAGCAAACTCAAGATAAAGACATGAATTCACCTATACCAAAATTCCACTTTCGTTAGTGGTGTCATAGTCCTATACTATTCGATGAAAGGAGGTGCATTTATTCGCGGTGTCGCCTTAACATCCCGTGGGTGTCGTGAGAGGCGACAGGGGGAAAGTGAAGCAGAAGATGGGCAGCAGCATCATACTGATAACAACTCAACTTTATAAAAAACTGTGGTCGCCAACCCGCGTGCCAAGCGTGCCAACTATAGCCAAATTCCCCCTAAGAGAAAATCATTGGGGGAGGCCTATGTTCAACAATGGACTTTTATAGGGTGTAATGATGATGATAACTTACAGGTCTCAGTATATTAGAAGGGCGGTGCAGAAGGCTGGACTTCTTGGAGAACGAATGGTTTAGCATAGACGGCTTCTCGTTGGCCATTTCGGTGTCGGTGAAGGAACGGGAGATGCTCTTCACCTTCTTCCGAGGGGTTCCCTTCATGCCGGCGGAGGATGAACGCTTCACCGACTTCACCTTTGAAATGCCCAAACGTATCTATAAATGTTGAGAACTGGATGATTAGCAACAAAATAAATTATTTTTAACAGCAAAGACCCCAACTGACTTTGTTAAAAGCTTATGAGGCACTTCAATCAAGCACTATGTAATAGTATACGTTTTTGCGAGAATCGAATTAGTGTTAGAAATTCGTCAAGCTCTTAAGGCAACTGAGTCACAGACATAACTTTCTTGAAAATGCTCAACTCATCAGCATGTCCAATTTAGTCAACGATGTGGATACAGCGGATGGTATTGATGTTCGTCGATTGAAAACATATTAGACAGAACAGAAACAATAACTTTTTTATTCAATATAGTTTATAAAAAAGTCACTTTTTTATTTACCACTGGTTCTGAAAAACACCTCTGTTCGGAAAGAACCAGCAAGAACCCAGCGGTACTTTAAAAAAACAGCTTACAATGTATGTTACAATTAACAACACAAAAAAAATTAGAAATAGCTTCGTAGCGATCACCCTTCCCAGGGGTTATTATCATCTATAAATTCCTTAATATTATAATAACCCTTTTTATACAAACTTAGTTTAATAAAGTTCTTAAACTTTGTGCACGTCAAATTTTGTATATTTTTTGGTATTTTGTTCTAAAAGCGTATACATCGCTCCAAGAATGAATTACTGACTCGGTGGAGTCGAGTAATGGTACTACTAACTAGGGTCTCTGTTCTTAGTATTAACAGAATGAATATCTGTTATTTTTGCAAAACTACTTTTATTTTTGTACGTACATTATATTTTCATAAATTTATTGAGAGGCCAAAGTTAATGTATTAATTTCCTTAAATTTTTGTCTGAGCGACTCTTTTGGTCTTATAACTTATTACGAAAAAATATTTTAGTACAGGTTTAAACTAGGACTAAAAGATCCAAGGTTTTTAACAGTATTAACGCTGATACCAGAATCAAAACGTGTGCTTATTACAAAACGCAGACTGAGGTCCCGTTAGTATCAAAGTTAGTACTGGTTTAAATAACATCTATAATAAACAAAAAATGATACTGTTTCATTTGTTCACATAACAAAATTGTGTTTCTATAAATATTAATGTTATTATCAATTATTATTTGCCAATACAAATATATATCATACATTGTTATTTGTTAAGGATAGATTTCAATCTATTGACAAGCACAACTTATATTTAAGAGGGACGCGCTTTTTATAGTTTAATTTTAACAACTCTATCGTAAAAAGGAGTGAATTACATAGGTACCGCGAGCGCGTAATTCGAGACGATTAAAATGTTTTATATGTTGCGTCCATAGAATAAATCAATGCTCTTATTTTAATTCATTGTTCTAAGTATTGTGGTGTTGGAATCAGAGAGGTTTTGTTCAGGAAATTGTGTGTGTGTGGGTAAATAGTAATCTACCTGTATAAAAAAGAGTTAGTGGAACATCGACATTTATTTTATTTGTATTAACGCTGTGTATCATCCTTATTTAGGTTAAAGCGAATGTTCTCATTAATATAGGAAATATTACGTACACTTATTGCTCAATCGGCACATATTACAGAGGATAAGTCGATAAAAACGTCAAAAATGTGCCAAAAATAAAAAAATTAGAGCTGGTCTTTGTTTTACAATAACGTTTTATTTAGTTCATGCTTTAAACTTAGTACTAACCCCAGTACTATATTCAGTCCGTGTTTTGGAATAAGGCCGTTTAGGTTTTAAATCATAGATTGCACTTATGGCCCTCTTCTGTTAGTAAAGTAAAGTAAAGTTACAGCCTATATACGTCCCACTGCTGGGCTCAGGCCTCCCCTCATTTCTGAGAGGGTTTAGGGCAAGGAAGTGTCCGCCGCGCTGCCCAAATGCGTGTTGACGAACTTCACATGTCTTCGAAATATTTTTTTTCTTATTCCTCAGACATGCAGGTTTCCTCACGATGTTTTCCTTCACCGCCGAGCACGTGGGAAATCAGCACTTAAAATTGCAATTAACAATTTCATTGGTGCCGGCGGGGATCGAACCCGGGTTACTCGCGTTCTGTTATATTTACAGCGAGCGTTAACCACTGAGCTACCACGGCTCCCTCTTCTGTTAAACAAATATAATTTCAGTGTCAGTCGCGTGTCCCCATAGCAAAATACCATACGACATTATGCTATGGAAATAGCTAAAGTAAACTAGTCTAGTTGTTTCAATACTGGTAACATTTCTAATCTTTTTACAGCATATGCTGTAGAACTAAGTCTGCTTGTTTTGATATATGTGGGCCCCATTGAACTAAATACAAAGTCTGCTAGTTTTGATATATGGGGCCCCCCCTAGAAAAATGGTGGTATCGACAAGAGTCACTTCCTCCCCATTTAAAATAACATTAGTATTTAAATGATTGACATTTGGAGTCATGAATGTGACACATTTCGTTTTAGGGCCATTTAAATGCAAATTATTAACATTAAACAAATTTTCTAATTTAGATATAGCATTATTTACCGCGTCATACTTTAGTAAAAGTCGTTTTTATTTGAAAATCAATGAAGTATCATCAACAAATAATACTAATCATGGTTATCCCCTACTTTGTAAGGTAAGTCATATATAGGGTTTGGGTACTTTTCGTAATTTTAGTTGTCTCGAGTCTCGGGACTTTTAGGTCGAGACTTGAGACGAGACAAGATTGTCGAAATTGTTATGTAATCAAATAATTGAAGGAGCCTGGCACCATCTCTTGGTATAATGAGTAAATTACTCGGTCTTCTACATAACTACTGAGTACACAACACAATAAATGTGTAGTTGTTGTTGTTTGACGTTATTAAAATTGGTATGATTTTTAATTAAGTTCGTATTATAACTATAAGATTTATCTGTTTAAAAGTGGCGGGTTTTAGGGAAAAAGAGAGTTCTCTATGCTGCCCGTTGCTCTACTCAGTTGTAGGTTTCCTCCAATTTTAGCGCAGCACTTACAAATAAGAACAACTTTACGAATGTGGAGATTGAATTTGTGTGTGATTAAAAGAAATAAACAAAGCAATTATTAAGACTGAAATTAACTCTAAACTTATTAAGATCGAATTTTCTGTTTAATAAATGTCGATTTTTACAAAAACAATTCCTTTTTAATATGTTTCATAAGGAAATAACTCAATTAAATTTCTTCAAAAAAGGCTTAGCTCTATTAAATTTTTTTTCTTAAGTCTCGAAGTCCCGGAAATTCCCGGGACTTTGATTGTTGGCTATCTCGTGTCCCGGGACTTTGAAATTGTCGGGAATTCCCAAACCCTAGTCATATACAACAAGTAACGTAACTAACGCACTCCCTCAGACACACTATTATGTTACGATCATAATAAACTATATTATGTTACGATCATAATAAACACGCTGACTTTTTAGTTAAACATGTTTTATGCATTGATTGATTATTAAATTAGTTAAACTAATTCCGGAAGAATGTTGTGGTCACAGACAAAACCACGAACGCAGTTTACTCAACTTTATTTTTAAAGACTTTAACGTGCTTGAAATGAGGTTCATTTTTATCTATTTTGTATTGAATGACGGAATTTGTATTAATACAAATAAAATTGCACTTTTAAAAGTCCTATTGACTTGTGTTACGGTACATTTCAGTTTATTTTGACTGTACAAGTTTATGGTGATTGTAATTTACGTCGTTTTAATTATTTTTGGGATGAAAAATTACCTACATTAAAATTATAGAAATCGATTCAGTAAACGATTCTGAAGAAACTACTTTTAGGATTTGCTTTAATTATGTTACATGTTGTATACAAGAAATCAAAAGGGGCCGAGAATTGAGCCCTGAGGCACGCCTATTTGTACTCTCGAGCCGGAAGAACTCATACAATTAATAACATCTTTTTGCGTTTTGTTACTTAAATATGAAACAATTTAAATATTATTATCGTAGTGTTGAAGTTTCCTGATTAATGTTTCATGGCGTGCACAATCAAGAAAAAGCTTTGGTTAAGTCACAGAATACAACCAAAGCAACCTGATTAAATATATCTTCAATGCATGGGAGAACCATGCATTGAAGTTATATTTAATCAGCTCCACACCAGTATCAGTTGTCGAGCGACCCCTTGTAAAACCGAATTGATTTTTATTTTGTAAATTATCTATATTTTTTTACATTTCATCAAGAATATTTTTTTTTGCCGTTAATTAATTAATTTAATGCCTTCCGATTGTTCAAGGAGAATGTTTTAGAAGTAAAAGTATTATCAAATTCATTGCAAATAAGCTTAAATAATGTTCTATACAAAAAATCTGGATTATTTTGGTTTGAAAGAGTGATGGAAGTTTTATCACTGTTACTTCTCCAAGCGATGTGCATTTATTGGAACAAACACAACTTTCTCATTTACTTGCTCTTTGTAACGAAACAAATTGTCCACAGTGATCAGAACTTAAGTTTTGAATTATACATTTATGCAACAGCTCAACATTTGTAAAAAAGTTATCTATACATGTTGTGCTAGATTCATCAATACGTGTTGGCTTTAGACCATATGATTTAAACAATGATCTTTAACATTGGTGGCGTAAGCTTGTAGGATATTGATATTAAAGTTTCCACATATTACAGATTTATTCTGTTTATCAAGTTTAACAAAAACTTCATACTTCATTCGAATGTTTTGTCGGTAATTTTTATTTAATTGTTTGAATGGAATAGTAATTTTACATGAAATTCTTAGTAAAAACTTCATTCTTTAATATGATGAAATTCCGCAAAGTAACGTTTTATTCTGTAAATTAAAATTATGGCATGTTTTATCCACTACTGGCTGACCTTCGATAACCACGAAATGTTAAAAGTTTGACATGGACATTGCCATGGACCTCCACCGTGGTAAGAAAATTTTGGTTTTTCTTAACCTCCTTACAGTCTCCTATAGTCAACCAAATCTAAGAAATACATTTTGACAGCTGTCAGATTTATTGCACCAAGCATGTCAACCAAAAAATGGGAACGTACAATATTCGATTCTATAAAAATCGATATCGATTATTTAGATTTGGTAATCATTTAGTTTAGTTTGAATAATACCAGAATAAATTAAAAACGGATAATTTAAAACACAAGATTTGTCAGTTTCTTCGTATTTGTTGTTACTGCTTATTTCTAGAGGCACAGTTATAAAAATCTTTTTTTTTTTTTTTTTTAATATAATTGAAACTGGATTGAAAATAAATTTATTCAATCACTTTCAGTGAAACTAGTAGATATATCGTTGGTTATATTAATTATTATTAGATTTTCAATAATGCAAACAAAATTAATGTCAATTTCAAAGTCATCCATAATCAATTTTTTTGTTTTTCTACAACTTTTGTCCAATCATCCTTTGTGACATGGGCACATGCTTCAACTAATATTTTTTATAGCATTGGGTGACAAACGAGCACACAGTCCACCTGATGTTAAGTGGATGCTATGGCCCATAGACATACATATTTATTCTCAATTCAGAATCAAAATGCAAATGCGTTGTCACCCCAGAGGCTTAAGATGGAATGCCTCGATTCCAGTAAAAAGGGTCTCCGGTTCTCTACACTCACCATACGAAACACAGCAGCATTACGCTACTATTTTACGCTGGTATTCTGTGAGAGCGTGGTCCTGCCCCGGTTGAGCTGACCCATTCGTGCTACAACTATAATATAGATGTAGCGTGGCTCTACCACGTACAAAAAGTTATTATAGAAGAAACAGTCCAAAAAGTTAAACCCGAGTCACAAAATAAAGAGACAAAAAAATTACAAAATTACACACAGTAAGCTCTGGAAACAGAAACAGACTTTTTTATTCAATATAGATTATGAATAATACTTATTGAAAGACACTTTTTTCATTTACCACTGGTTCGCAAAAAAACACTCAGTCCTGGGAAGAACCAGCAAGAAACCCAACGGGACTAGTTTAAAAAAAAAGAGCTTACAATCATGCGTGCTACAATTAACAACACAAAACAAATTAGAAATAGCTTCACCCTTCCCAGGAGTTATTATCATCCATAAATTCCCTAATATTAAAATAACCCTTTTTATACAAACTTAGTTTAATAAAATTTTTAAACTATGTGTACTTACGTCAAATAATGTATATTTTCTGTGGAGTCGAGTAACTGGTACTAAAATGGCGGGATATTGAAATTATCTAGTGGTTATTTTAACACGGCCTTGTATATATGATTTTTGCCTACACAAATTTGCTCTGACAAAGTAAAAAAATAAACTTGTTTTATTCATGATTCACGTAATTTGAGGGATTTTGAAAATAAAAATTAAGTTAAACAAATAATACATTAGAAAAATAATGATTCGATTATTTGAAAATTTTTACCGATTATTTGAATATTTTGCCGATCATTCGCATAAAACGAATTTTAATCATCCAAACACTACGATATTATACATAGCGACATATCATTGAAACGACGTCGAGTAAAAAAAGTTAATACTGGTTATTTTTTAATATTTTGCTTTGTTTGAAAAACTCAAACTTAAATTAGTGATAAAAAACTATACACGTTGTAATGAAATATAGATAACTACATAATTCTTCGGATTTACGTACAAGGTTATTTTAAATCGTGTGAGTACGCTGGTGCAAAATTTTTGCGGAATGATTAATGTGAAACGAAAAAAGGTATTTCTTAGATTTGGTTGACTATAATCGATTTTTTTGTCTTTATAATGGAAATATTGGAATAAAGTAACAGCATCGAGTTTCAACAGTCCTAAAATTAGAACATACCATAGCAATGCTACAATTTTAATAAAATTTTTTAAGCAAAAATAAAGTATGTTACCTTCGGTGTATTAGTTTTCTTTTTGACTTCAGGAGTTGCTTCTACCGGCTTCTCTTCGGAACTCTCCTCGTTCATCACATCTTTGAGTTTATCGAACTCCTCCTCAGGATTTTTGGCGTGGTCATCGATATCGCCGAATTTCTGGTTTCATATGACACAGAAAATAATGATAAATTTAACTTCGTAATGGAATACAATTTCGGTATTTTAATATATAATCAATACATTCGACTTCATATATAGATTACATGCTTTTGTTCCTCCCTCTCCTTTACACCATCGGACAATCAGGCGGTCGGCATCGGATTTTCAACCCTTTGTTGTCAATATTCTAACGCAATGGAACGAAGTGTTGTACTTTATCTTTCATAATACGTACAGCAAAGCAGTGGAATCATTTGTCTACCCGCGTCTGTCTTTCCGTTCGAATATAATCTATTTGTCTTCAAGACAAGAGTGAATAGGCTTCTGTTACGCTAAGACAGTAAGATTTACCACCAGGTGGGATTGTGGTCAAGCTTTTATACATGGTAGAGCCATGCTGCAGTTATATTAGAAGTATAGTTGTAGCACGACTGGGTCGGCTCGACCGGGAAGGACCACGCTCTCACAGAATAAAAGCGTAAAATAGCAGCTTAATGCTGCTGTGTTACGTGTGGTGAGTGTAGAGAACAGGAGACCCTTTTTACTGGAAACGAGGCAAATCCGTCTTAGTCCTCACAGGTGACAACGCATCTGCATTTTGATTCGTAATCGAGGATAGATGTAGATGTCTATGGGCCACAGAAACCACTTACCATCAGGTGGACTGTGTGCTCGTTTGTCACTCAATGTGAGTTGGAAATGTGCTTACGCAAATTTCCAACTCACAAGTAACTACTTTTAAGATATTGACGTTTGAGGAATGGAGTCAGTGATAATGATTCGTTTCGTTTAGCTTTATATCGACTACGAGTTATGCTGGATTTGCTTACACAATGTTAAAAAATACTCTATACTTAGGAATATTTAAGCATTTATCATTTTCGACCCGAAGGTAGGTTGGTTCCTTTATGCATAAATACGTCTAACTTTTCGACCAAGGCTGAAAAACGTGGTGCAGAAATTATCTAATGAAAGAATATTTCAAGGGCATGTAATGTCTGCAAACATGCACTAGACAATCATTTGTTGTTACTCTACAAAAATATTTCAGTTTGAATTAATTACAAAAAGAAAACCAATTCAGGATTGTTATGGATGTTCAGTTGTTTTTTTTTTAATAAATCGATATCTACATCTACAGTATTGAATTTTATTCTGTAATTGGCGACTATTTAATTACATAAATTGCAGAATGACAAATACTTGTTCCGTATTGGATTCGAACTGGCTGGCCTCAGCGACACAACTCTTTATTGTTTTTCTGATGTTCTAATACAGGGGTGGCGAACCAACGTGCCATTTTTCCAAAGAAATGTTTAATGAAGTCATAAACGCGCCGTGAAATTATTTTGACTTCGTGATTATTGGGAAAATAGTACTTATAAATAAGAGTTTTCAGTTGAGACATTTATTATTTATACATGCTATTGATGCAGATTAGATGACAAATAACTTATATTGAGATTGCAAAATCGTAAATATAACACAAATGTACTTTTAAATACAGTTGTGTCAACGCAATTGACCATAATGCTATGCCTAAACAAACTATGTATTCTTTGGCGGAAGCGTAGACTTGTGAATGGCTGTAATGATGATGAGACGAACTATGCGTCATTAGCAATCGTAGTCCACGATGTAACTACAACAGTGTTGCCAGATGCCTTGAACCTTTTATCTGTAGTAGAAACAGCTAAAATCTGTATTAAATCTGTATGCTATTTAAACTCAAAATCTGTATAAAATCTGTATTTATTACCTTGAGTAGAAGCCTATGGCACTGATATTTTACAAAAAATAAAAATAAAAATTTTGAATTATATAAATAAATAAATTAAAATCTATCGAAATTTAAATCATATCCACTCTACTTTACCAACGGCAATAAAACAATAAATTTAATTGCCATCTTTGACCTTGTCACTTCGCAGTATCACAGGCTAGGAAGGACATTATTTGGATTTCGATAGAATTCATTAATTTATTTATTTAATTCATTTTTTTTTTTGTAAAATATCAGTGCCATAGGCTTCTAGTCTGTTCACACGTTACATCCATTTTTTTCCAGGCGGTAAAAAAGATTATCCAGTATACATATTTTATCAATATCAATGTATTTTATAATACGCTTGTAATGCTCCCATACTAAATAATTACGTTGTGAAAAAATAAATTAACCATAAAGAATAGAATCATGGAATGATATGTTTAACGCAGTATCTAGTCATATATTTTGCTTCGTTCTGTTTTAAGTTGTATATTATGATAATTCAATCAATAGAGTTAAAAATCTGTATCCAGTGTTAATCTGTATCACACACCGAAAATCTGTATAAATACGGAGAAATCTGTATATATGGCAACACTGAACTACAATAACAAACGATCGCGCTTAGTAGGATCATTCGCGTTCGTTCGTAATACCTATAATACTTCAGCGAACTTTGCGATCGGTGGCGTGCCCAAAATATTTGTGTCACGTGCCTAGCGTTGCCAGACGTCCGGATGAAGCCGGACACAGGCTTTTTGGTTGCGTGTCCGGCCAAATTAGACGGTGTCCGGTTTTTGTTAGGCTTTTTAAATTTGACATACATACTATTGCAATTATCGAAATTAATATTGTAATGAATATTGAATAATTAATAATAAAGAAAATTGTTTTATTCAATTGTTATTTCGTTAGAACTTAAGATTTTACGGTAAATGATAAAAAGCATTATTTTACGTTTAAAAAAATGTCTTTTACTAAGACAAAAAAATAAGCGTATCCGGCCTTTTTAAGAGCTGGCAACCCTACACGTACTATTGGTTCGCCATCCCTGCTCTAATACATAGCATAGTATAATGTCCTCCAGACCGAATTTCGGTCAAGCAAGCTACCTCAACGGAGGCTAGCCATCGGCGCAGGACAGAATTATAGTGCCCAAGTGTATGCGCAAGTACAGGTGCACTCTCTATTCCCTCACTCTCATAGCGCGATGGGACGGTAAACCGACACGACCGGAGAGAGATCAGGCGCAGGACCAACAGCTTTACGTGCTTTCCGAGTCACGGGGTGATTACACCGCCAACTTCCTGACTCCGGGCAGCTACTGAGAATTTCTTGACAGAAAAACTCAATAATTGATTTTTTTGGCCCGACCTGGGATTCGAACCCAGGACCTCATGATCAGCAGTCGCACTACTACAACCACTAGACCAACGAGGAAGTCAAGTACACAGAATGGAAAACAATTATCGACCTATAGATAACAGATGTATGATGTACTGAAGTAGATGTTCTATGATATACTAAGGACGATCAAAACTTTAGAGCTTATTAGTGAATGGCGAACCCAGCAGATCAGTTTAGGTTTCCTTGATAAACATCTATATAATCATATACACACCTCGGGATGGACAATATACTCTTCAATCTGATTGACAGCCTCTTTGAAGGCAGCAGTCTTGCAAGATTTAATCAGTTGCTCCTTGTGTTCCTGGTATGGCTTGATGTTGTGCTCTTCGATCCACGCACTGTTGACAATATATACTTTATTTAAGCGAAGCCGGCACCACGGTAATCCAGGATTCATATTTTCAGAGAGCTTATCACAAGCAACATATATAATTGAACATGTAATAAAAAGAAAAAGCAGAATTAAATTTTAGATGAGAATTAAAAGAAGTTTCTTTCAAGTGGTAGAGCCATGCTGTAGCTATATAAGTAGTGTAGTTGTAGCACGAATGGATCGACTCGAGCGGAGAAGGACCACGCTCTAACAGAATACCAGCTTAAGGCTGCTGTGTTTCGTATGGTGAGTGTAGACAACCGGAGACCCTTTTTACCTGAACCGAATAGAACTAAAATGAATCAAATGATTTCTTAATAAGTTGGTGTTAATTTAGAAGTATAAAATCCCAGACTTCATATATTATTTTATTAGTAAAATTATTTTATTTACTAAGTAATCTTTTACCCTTTTGAGTGGATTACAGTATATTAAATTGTAATTGCAACTCCCCTGGTGTTGGAGATGTTCATGAACGGCGGCAGTCACTTACAATCAGGTGAGCCGCACGCTCGTTTGCCTCCTCTTCTATATAAAAAAAGTATCACAATCCTAATGTCGCTGAAATAGTTACACATTACAACTTCATCCCCCATTTAGCTATTCCTAAGGAAGGTTTTTCTTACTAAATTTATAATTTTTTTATACGTGGTAGAGCCACGCTGCAGTTATATTAGTAGTATAGTTGTAGCACGAATAGGACGGCTCGACCGGAGAAGGACCACACTCTCACAAAATTCCAGCGTAAAATAACAGCTCAACGCTGCTTTACCTCGTATGGTGAGTGTAGAGAACAGGAGACCCCTTTTACTGGAAACGAGGCAATCCATCTAAGTCCTCACGAGTGACAACGCATCTGCATTTTGATTCATAATCGAGGATAGATGTAGATATCTATGGGCCATAGCAACCACTTACCATCAGGTGGACTGTGTGCTCGTTTGTCACCCTATCCTATAAAAAAGGACTACACCCGAAGTATAATCTATCTAATAAAAAATATAAACATCACAATCGACTCACAATTGACAAAAAGACAAATAAAAAACAGTTTTTGAAGTCGGCTAGTAACTATTACATTGATTGTGCCAACGCCCGTATTCTTTTATCAAGAAATCATCGTACTATGTGGATCGTGCTATTTTTAGTATAAGGCAGTAAACAGCTAAAGCTATTTCGGAGGCTGACATTCTGGAGCGTATCTTCTTTTTCTAATACTCCATTACTAGACAAAGGTTTCTCCTATTAGGAAAGTAAATTACCTTGATCTCCACGCGTGGGATTAGAGAACGCAATACCAAACGTCCGATCTGGGTATTTAACTTCCGGCATATACGAGATGGTATACCGTCATCTAGCAGTCGATTAGGAATTTTTGAATATCATTTATATTCATAGAATTATTTACATTGACAATAATGTCTCTATTATCTAATTGTCTCTAAATTAGGTCCAAAAAATTTCTTTCAACTTCGACTTCAAAAAGGAGGAGGTTCTCAATTTGAGTGTATGTTCTTTTTTTTATGTATGTTACGGATATTTTCGCAGATTGTGAACCGATTTTAATAATTCTTTTTCTAAACTAGGCCCAAGGGTAGTCCCCTCAAATTTGGGGAAAAATTAGACCTCTAAGGGCTGCAAATAAATAACTTCTTCTATAGCAGTTTAAAAAAAAAAAAAGGTTTTAATTACTTAATATATTTGGTAAATATGGTTAAGTTTAATTTACAGTGAAAATAAAGTAAAAGTAAAGTAAAGTTACAGCCTATATACGTCCAACGGCTAGGCACAGGTCTCCGCTCATTTCTGAGAGGGTTTTAGGGCAAGGAATTGTCCGCCTTGCTGCCCCAGTGCGTGTTGGCGAACTTCACATGTCCTCGAAATATTTTTTCCTTATTTCTTTGACATGCCGGTTTCCTCACGATGTTTTCCTTCACCGCCGAGCACGTGGTAAATCAGCACTTAAAATTGCAATTAACAATTTCATTGGTGCCGGTGGGGATCGAACCCGGTTTGCTCGCGTACTACAGCGAGCGCTAACCATCTGAGCTACCACGGAAAATAAAGTATTAAATAACTACTCACTTGCCCGGTACATAATGGTCCCTTTGAACCGGACAAAATATATTAAATAAAAAGATGCTTTAAATATTCAAAATATTTACCTTAAGCAGTAACAAATTTTGATTAAAAACTACTTTTACGGATTTTATCGCGTTTACTTTTAATTTTAATTATTTTTATTTTTAATTCCCGACGTTTCGGGTGCTTTCCAGTACCCATGGTCACAGGGGACTGAGGTGACTGACGTCTCGATGTCATTGTTAAACCTGGAGTACCTTCAGCTTTTTTTTATTGTTTATGGTCCGATCTATGCAAAATGAACTATGTCTTGAGGTCTTGCAGTGGTATGCTTGGGTTTAGTTTTAATTTTATTGATTATTTATTTATTTATTTTATTTATTTATTCACAAATTGCGTTACATGTGACTTAGAGACTAAACAAAACATGCAAGTTCTAACAATCACGTGCACCTCGAAAGGCATAGCAATGAACAGGAGAGGGGCAGACACTTAAAAATTATTTTCCTCAATGTATTCATCATCATCATCATCATCATTACAGCCCTTTACAAGTCCACTGCTGAACATAGGCCTCCCCCAAGTAATACCACAAAGCACGGTCCTGAGCCACCTGCATCCATCGACTTCCTGCATGTCTTACCAGGTCGTCACTCCATCTAGTGGGGGGTCGCCCTACACTACGCCTACCGGTACGAGGCTGCCACTCGAGAACCTTTCTTCCCCATCGGTTATCGGTTCTTCGAGCTATATGGCCGGCCCATTGCCACTTCAGCTTACTAAACCGTTGGGCTATGTCGGTCACTCTGGTTTTACTGCGGATATCCTCATTTCTGAGTCTATCACGCAGTGAAACTCCGAGCCATAGCCCTCTCCATAGCTCGCTGAGCGACCTTGAGCGTCCTCATACGGCCAGCAATGAAAGACCACGTCTCAGATCCGTAAGTCATCACTGGCAACACGCACTGGTTATACACTTTAGTTTTCAGAGATTGAGGTATACCTGACGAGAAGATGTGTCGTAATTTCCCGAACGCTGCCCAGCCAAGTTGAATCCGTCGATTGACCTCTCGGTCGAAGTTGGACTTACCTAGTCGGACTATTTGTCCCAGGTAAACGTACTCGTCAACAACTTCGAGCATAGTGCTCCCAACAACTACCGGCATAGGTGTGACATGGACATTAAACATGATCTTTGTTTCGTCCATGTTCATCTTAAGACCTATCCGTTGGGAGACATCATTGAGGTCATTGAGCATAGTACTAAGGTCCTCCAGCGATTCTGCCATAAGGACTATAGCGTCGGCAAATCGAAAGTGAGTGATGTACTCGCCATTGATGTTAATACCGTATCCTTTCCAGTCCAGTAGCTTGAAAAGTTTCGGTGAAGAGTTTCGGGGATATAACGTCACCCTGTCTTACACCTCTCTGCAGTTGGATAGGTTTCGAACTCCGGTTCTGTACTCGGATAGCCATCGTAGCTCTACTGTACAAACACTTCAGCACTTCGATATACCGACAGTCAACTTGGCACCGCTGAAGGGACTGTAGCACCGCCCAAATTTCGACGGAATCAAAGGCTTTCTCATAGTCCACATATGCCAGGCAAAGTGGCAGATTGGACTCTTCGGTCTTCTGTACAATCTGCCGCAGGGTATGTATGTGGTCTATGGTACTGAAGCCTTTTCGGAAACCGGCTTGTTCGGGAGGCTGCAAGTCGTCGAGTCTGCGTGCGAGACGATTCGTAATGACTCTCGAAAACAGCACGTAGACGCGGCTCAGAAGGCAAATCGGTCTGTAGTTCTTCAAGAGAGCGTTGTCGCCTTTCTTAAAGAACAAGACCACCGCGCTTCTGCTCCACGCCTCCGGAGTAGTGCCACCATGGAGAACGGAATTGAAGAGCTTCTGAAGGACTTCAAGTACCGGTGTTCCACCCGCTTTCAGAAGCTCCGCTGTAATTCCATCCTCGCCCGGGGCCTTGCCGTTTTTAAGGTGGTGGAGAGCCATTCTAATCTCGCTCAGACTGACGTCCGGGATATCATCGGAATAGTGTCGGATAAGACTTGCTCTTGGATCGTTACTCACACTTGCGTGTGGCTCCAACGATGATGTGTACAGCCGCCCATAGAACCTCTCAATCTCACTCAGAATCTCAGGTGTCCCGGAAACGATGTTGCTACACTCAGTCTTCAGCTTTGACTGTTGGCTCTTTCTGGCAGACAGATCTCTGGCAAAGACTTTGGAGCCCTGGTTCCGCTCGATCGCTTCTTTAATACGAGCAGTATTAAAGTTGCGTAAGTCTCGCCGCATGCATTTGGAGATCTGTCTGTTCAGTTGCCTGTATGCTGTTAAATCTGTTGACGATTGCAGCCTCATCTCCCGTCTAACAGCCATGAGATTAAGAGTGTGATCGGAGAGTTTTTGTGTTCTTCTGCGGCGGGTCTTGCAGAACTTAGCTCCGACCGCATGGACAGCTTCCACGAGCTTGTCATTCATATCGTCTACTGCATTGCAATCCTCTAGGCACTGAAAGTGGTTTTGTAACTCGAGCTGAAAGGTTTCGGGATTCTGGAATAGAGCACGAGGGGGACGGAGCGTTGACTTCATTAGACAAGACCTCTCCAACTTAACGTTTAGGTTCAGTGTGCCTCTAACCATTCGGTGATCGCTGCCAGTTTTCACCCTTGCGATCACTGAGACATCACTGAACAGTTGGCGTCTGGTCGTCATAATGAAGTCAATCTCATTTTATTTATTTATTTATTTGTATGACTAAACAATGTATTCATTAATTGAATAATAACTTTTTTTAATAAGTATCTCTTTTAAAGATCTTATGAATTTATTAATATTTGTTTCGGCTTTTATGTATTCCGGCAATTT